CGGGTGGCATCGTTGTGGCACTGCAGGAGGCCCAGGATGGACATGTCATCTGAGGAATGGGAGGGGGAGTTGAAATGGTTCGCGACTGGGAGGTGCAGTTGTTTGTTGCGAACCGAGCGTAGGTGTTCTGCAAAGCGGTCCCCGAGTCTTTCCCTCCCCACCCTTATCTGCTTTCCGGAGGGACAACTCTCTCCGTGACTCCCTTGTCCGCTCCACACTCCCCTCCAGCTCCACCACACCCGGCACTTTTCCCTGCAACTGCAGGAAGTGCTACACCTGCCCCCATACCTCCTCCCTCAACCCCATCCCAGGCCCCAAGAAGACTTTCCACATCAAGCAGATGTTCACCTGCACATCTGCCAATGTGGTATACTGCATCCGCTGTACCCGGTGTGGCTTCCTCTACATCGGGGAAACCAAGCGGAGACTCGGGGACCGCTTTGCAGATTTCACAAGTTTCAAAATCTCCCCTCCCCCCACCGCATCCCAAAACCAGTCCAGCTCGTCCCTGCCTCCCTAACCGGTTCTTCCTCCCACCTATCCCCTCCTCCCACCTCAAGCCACACCTCCATCTCCTACCGACCAACCTCATCCCGCCCCCTTGACCTGTCCGTCCTCCCTGGACTGACCTATCCCCTTCCTAACTCCCTACCTACACTCACCTTTCCTGGCTCCATCCCCACCGCTTCGACCTGTTTGTTTCCTCTCCACCTATCCTCTCCTCTATCCCTCTTCTATCCGCCTCCCACTCTCTCCCTATTTATTTCAAAACCCCCTTCCCCTCCCCCTTTTCTGATGAAGGGTCTAGGCCCGAAACGTCAGCCTCTCTGCTCCTATGATGCTGCTTGGCCTGCTGTGTTCATCCAGCCCTGCACCTTGTTGTCTGTGAAAGATTGGTCAGGATGCAACGAGAAACCCTATCAGTATGAAGTTTATTACTTGGCTTTTGAAAGCTTACCGTGGAGAAAAATGTAATGCCCGAATGACACATTCCACCACCTGATACGGCTCATTCTTCATCCTCCAGTAAAATGAAGCCATGTTATACAACACCCATGATGATGTATTCTAAAAATAATGAAAACATTGCAATAACAGAAACATCAGATTAATAGGAATGATTGTATCATTGTGGACACTTGAAATCGGCTATTTTAATCCATTACAAAGTATTGCAATGTGACCCTTGTGATCACTGTGCTGAACTATTAAGGACTTACAATTTAGTCCCATTATTCATGTGAAAATACATTTCTTTAATAATTCTTACTTAGGTTTGTGAACAGTATAAATATTAAAGAAATATTGATCATGCTCTTTTAGATTAATGACATTTCTAAATGTTGCATAGCCCTCAAACCAAAGTAGAAATATCTGAAACAATAATTTCATGGCACTCAGAATATGATTTAGAATTGATATGGCAATTTGGTGATGTGTTAATATGGTAGATTTCAAAATATTTTAAAGTCACATTCCATTTTACATACATAGAAATTGTGTTGAAAAGATAAATTCATTTTATGTTTACCTTTAAGCTCGGACAATATTAATGTGGCTGCAGAGAAATGATGCTGAATAAATTGATATTTAACATCCAGAACATAGTTTGTAAAATGGGTTTGGAAATCTCTTACAATTATGGAAATAACTTTAACAATCACAATTATTTATTGAGCTTTTCCTTGGAAATGTCATCAAAATTATCAAGTTATTTATCGTTACACCATCATTTTTACTTAAAACGTTACTACTAGCAAAAACTCTCCTTTGAGAATAATAGCTTTGGAAGTTGCAGAGACTAAAGCTAGTTCAAATCTCCTCAATTCTTAGAGCAGATGAAAAGAAGGATGACAACATACTATTAGGTCTGAAGTAATGCAATCAAAAGTCACTGCGGTTGAGTATGTAACCCAAATTCACAATTGTATTTCGCTCCAATTAACATTTTGGATGTATTAGATAATTAGGTGTTAAACAGTTTGTCCAATGCATAAATAAATTGTATGGAAGATACTGGTACAAGACATCGGAACCAGATCTGACAAAGAGCAGTGGCTTTATAATGTCATACATTATCATCTGCTGAAGGCTCAACAGAGTAGGAAGATGATCTACATTTTTAACAGTAAGTTTTTAATGATGTATTAATTTTAGAAGGTACTAAGAACGCATCTTGTTCATTGTCATTTTTATGAAGTAATAAATGACAACCAGGACAAATTTTTACAGACAAATTGTGTTTGATTTGATAGAGCTTTGGTAATGAAGATAGTGTGGTTGATGTATAAATGGAACTTTCAAAAAATCTTTGATAAATTATCACATTATCAATCTCACTGCCTTCAATTTTTCTAATCAGTCTAAGCGGTAGCAGTTTCATAAACATCAAATTAATTAAGGAACAGAAGGTAGAGAACTGTGGTGAACTTACTCCTACAGATCAGTAGGAAGCCAGAGATGAGTATAAGTCTACCATTGCTCTTTCTGATTTATATTAATGGTATGGAGCTGGGTATATAGCTCCAATATAATGTTCAAGCTTTCTAATGGCATGAGACTTTGAAATGCACAATAGCAAACAGAATAGTAATGGGCTTGTAGCAAAAGTATGGCAGATGGAAATTAATGGAGAATTATGAAAGAAAGCATTTTGGTAGAAATATTGAGAAGTAGCAGCATGAATTAAATAATACATTTAAGAGGGGTTCAGGAACAGACACAAATCGCAATCAAATAATTGGAGGTGACAGGGCAAGATAAGGTTGCTAAAGTGTGTATGGTTGCTTTGATTTTATAAATAGAAGCATGGAGTACAAAATGAAGTCATCTACCGCCCTTTGAAAGTCTGTATTCAATTGCTTTCCAACACCTTTTAGGTAGTGCATTCAAGATCATCACAACACTCATAAAGACAATGTCAAAAGCTTGCAGAGTAGAGAAGGCCTTTGAGTATGGTACCATTGAAATAATTAGAGGAGCTTGGGGTGCTCTTTCTACAGCAAATAAGTTGAGGGAAGATATTATACAGATACTTACAATCGTGCAAAGTTTTGATAAAATAAACGAGAAACTGGATCCAGTATTAGCAGGGTAAGCAACCAGAGGTCATAGATTCAAGGTGGCTGGTGAATGAACTTGCGAGAGATTTCTTTTCTTTTGACACAATGATGATCTAGATTGCACTGCTGGAAAGCATGTTGAAATTGATTCAACATTAACTTACAAAAGAAACAGATAAACCCAAAATGGGGGAGAAAATTTGGAAGGCTGCGAGGAAATGCAGGAGGGTGGAAATAATTGGACTGACATTTCAAGGAGCCAAAAGCATGGGCTGATTTGCTTTATCTGAACTTGAATACATTGCATGAAATGCATGCACAGCTTGCATTACCTGTGTTCACATACTAACAGCTAATAAAAGTCAGATGTTAAATGAAGATTACAAAATGTAAATTGTACCTTCAACAAGGCTGCATTAATTCTATGGCCTATTTCTTCAATACTTCTACCTAATCTTCTTGATAAGCTGATAAAGATAGGATCTTCTTTTGATAATACTGGTGCTGTAAGATTGATCCGTTCTTGGATACCCTAGAATTAAAGTTTTATGTATTACTTTCATTTCAATTTTCAAATTCTCAAACTTGGAAAGTATAAACTGTATTCTTTTGACTAAAACAAATTAGTTCTGTAGTAGTATTATTTTTTAGTCTAAGTTAGTTCATGACACATACTATAGGATGTTGATAACTTTTCTTGCCCTTCATGCAGTGAACAACACTCTATATAGATAAGTATTAGTACAGGAGTATCTTTTGGAACAGGACAATTAACTCTGCTACGTAAAGATGATTACATTACAAATTAGATTAACACGAATGCTAACATTATGTCACTATATGATTGTTAGCATTCAATTCTTTTCTTAATGTCAATGAATTAAAAACACAGCAAATTCATATTTCTCTTAATGCCTCTCAGAATAAAATTGCTACCAGTTACAAAAATGTTTCAAAAAGATTAATTAAACTTAATTTTAATTAGGACCTATGCAACCAGTACATAGTATTTTAAGATCCTCATATGGCGATGGATTTCAATGCAACTCTCAAGGGTTAAAGGTCATGTTATCCAGCGTATTCTTTCAAATGAAATCCTCATCAGAAGTAGACAGTGGTTTAAAAATGCTCTCAATAAAATAACATTAGCACAGTTGTTTTACATTTGATTGCACTTTCTGGGTATAAAATTAAATTGCCAATTAGAGTTACATACTTCCTTCCTAAGAACCTCTAGGCCTGCTGTTACACACATAGAATAGCTTAAAAACGAGACTTTTAAGATACCTGTGGTTCAGCAGAACTAGGTTATCCATGGCAGTTCTAGGCTGCAATTGAAAATGTCACTTTATTGCACCACAACTTTTCATACTGACTAAAACATTTTCCAGCTGTTAGCTTCGTAATAGAATTGTTGAATTTTACAGTGCAGGAGTCTCCTAAAAGAGCTACACAGCTAATTCTCCCACAGACTTCTTACCACCTACTCAGTCTCTACTGTTTTCTTCACGCAAAGCAATTAGATGGTCTTTTACATGAAAAGTATCATAAAAATGCAAATTACTATTGCCTTTTATTTAATAAACATTAAAAAATTAAAAAGTCCCAAAAATAATCTCAGAAGTTAAGATTTTAATTAAGTGTTATTTTAAGTTCAATTCCTGTTATGATCAGAAAAACATTCACCCTCAAATGCTGAAAAGCATGAATACTAAATGGAAGATCCATCATTTTCATGCAATCAGGTGTGTCTAGGTCTTGAGGTAATGGGGCCTTTGTATCAATGTATTCTTCAGGGCTATAAGAAAAGAACAAAATGTTAATTTCTGCAGTTTACAAGAAGCTGCAGCAAAATCAAAAAAAGTCTACTGGAAGGCAAATTGGCTTATAAATACCATATTTATGAAATACAAATATACAAAAGACATATATGGACACATATATA